CTGTAGGCTTCGTCTGGGTTTCAAGACAGTGCCCCGAAACGCACGCACACGCGCGCGCGCATGCGCGCGTGCGTGTTGGGTAGGGAGGGGGTCGGGGAGGGTGGGGGGGGGGCGCGATCCGCGTCAAAGAATGCCATGCGGGCCGCTCTCGCGCGCGGGCCGCGCGCGCATGTCGAACCCCTCCCAATGCGTACGTCGCTGGCGCGAGGACGCCGTCGTCGTCGTCGTCGTCGTCGTCGGCGTGATCAGCATCGGCGCCCTCGCTGGCCCTGCCGTCGTCGTTGTCGTCATCGCCGCCGTCGTCGCAATTAATATTATCGATGCTGACATTGCCATGATACCGCGCCCGCCCAAGTCGCCGACTAGCACTGAAGTGCCCGCTGGGGAGTGCCCGGCGGTCAGCGCCACCGCGGCCGCGTCGGTCGCGCCGATCTAGCTGGCCGCTTCGTGCGAGAGCATGCGCGGGCTAGCGCATCAGCAGAGATGCGCCAGCCAACGCCGAGCACTCATCGCAAACGCCGCCGCGTGGGTTTCGCAGACCAAGTTGCGGGTGGGTTGGCGGGGTGGTTGCGCGAGCAGTGGAGTTCACGAGTCAGTGTTAACAGAAAATCGCACCGCGTAGATTGCGCCACGTAGAGTTCATAACATAGGTTCTCCTTTCCAAGAAAAAGAGGTCCTGCCACCCTCCCCCCCTGGACTTTCGATGCCCCGGGGGCCCGTGCAAAACGCGCGTGATTTTGACCACTTTCCGTCCTACCTGTGAACTCATATTATCCCAGCCAGGCCGGTATCGGCCCCCCCTCGGCTCCCCGGCAAAGAATATTATGCGGTTGCATTTGTTGTGTTAACGCGGCACTTTTTGACGAGTACTTTGTAAAACATGCGATGCGGGGCGCGCGCGCGCGGCCGCTGCGCGCGCGTGTCGAAATCCTTCCAAGCAAATTGTGTTTTCAACAAGTTCAACATTTCGCTGCAAGAACCTTTGGAAACGAAAAACGTGCGACTGTCTCGCCCCAGAATTCTGAAACGTATGCCCGCGCGCTCTTGCCGAATCCATCTGAAAACATTTTTTTGTTTTTCAACATTCCTGTCAACTTGGGCTTCTTGGGCAACTTTCGCGCGCGCGCGTCGATCTTAGTCAATGACGGTCGCGCGGCTGCCAGGGCCACAATGCTTGGTGAAAAAATACAATGCGGGGCACATGCGCACGGCCGCCGCGTGCGCAGGTCAATATCCTTCCAAACGCATTGTGCTTTCAACAAGTTCAAGACCGAGCTTCATGACATCACGCGAATCGTACCATACATCGTCGGAGAAAAATATGCAAAACAATCACACATTCTACCCCTGCCAGGGCCGCAGTCCCTTGTGAAAAAATACCACGCGGGGCACATGCGCGCGGCCGCCGCGCGCGCATGTCGAAATCCTTCCGAACACACGGTGTTTTCAAGGATTCCAAGACCGAGTTCCATGACATCGTACGAATCGCACCATATTTCCCCGGAGCAGATTTCGGAGAAAAATATCAAACAGTGTACCCGCGCGCGCTTTCCGAACCCAGAAACATGTTTTCTCTTCTCACTACTTTTGTCATGCGAACAACTTTTGCGCGCGCTTCGAACTCCTTTCGCATCGGTCGCGCGCTTGCCATGGCCACAATCCCTTGTAAACAACATGCGGGGCACATGCTCGCGACACTCGCGCGCGGATGCCGGAATCTTTCTCGTCGTCGTCGTCGTCGTCGTTGGCGTCGTCGTCGCCGTCGTCGTTGTTCTTGTCGTCGTCCTCCTTCCGTCGTCGTCGTCAACGTCGCCGTCGTCGTCGGCGTCGTCCTCGTCGTCGTCGTCGTCGTCGTCGTCGTCGTCGTTGTCGCTGTCGTCGTCGGCGTCGGTGTCGTTGCCAAGTGCCATGTGGTACCTGCCGTCACGGTCGTAAGAGGTCTTGCGACCAAGTTACGCGTGGGAGGGTGGGATGTTTGCGCGAGCAGTGGGGGGATCTCTTGACATTCGAACTGAAATACAACACATAGATTGACCATTCAGACTGCACCGCATATCTTGCATACCACACATTGGACCGCATGTATGGCACACCATCTTTTGCACCACGTAGATTCTCTTTCAATGTGTTTTCAACAATTCCAAGACCGAACTTCATGAAATCACGCTAATCGTGCCGTACATCCTCTTTATTTATATATACAGAAACAGAGAATAATCAACATGCCTACCCGCGCGCGCTTTCCGAATCCTTCAAACAACCAGTGGTTTCCAATATTTCGGTCAGGCGATCAACTTTTGCGCGCGCGCCGAACTCCTTTATTATCGGTCGCGCGCTTGCCAGGGCCACAATCCCTCCTACAAGCCACCATGCGGGGCACATGCGCGCGGCCGCCGCGCGCGGATGCCGAAATCCTTTTTGTCGTCGTCGTCGTCGTCGTCGTCGTCGTCGTGGGCGTCGTCGTCGTCGTCGTCGTCGGCGTCGTCGCCGTCGGCGTCGTCATCGGCGTCGTCGTCGTCGTCGTTGTCGGCGTCGTCGTCGACGGTGTCGTCGTAGTCGTCGTCGGTGTCGTCGTAGTCGTCGTCGGCGTCGTCGTCGTCGTCGTTGTCGCTGTTGTCGTCGGGGTCGGTGTCGTTGCCAAGTGCCATATCGTACCTACCGTCACGGCCTGAAGAGGTTTTGCGACCAAGTTGCGGGTGGGAGGGTGCGATGTTTGCACGAGCAGTGGAGAGGACAGCTTCAAGATAATCAATGTGATCAAAAAAGAAGTAGGTTCTACCACCGTCGCCCCCCCCCCCGGACCCATCGACTCCCTGGGAACCTATGCAAAACACATGATTCGGACCCAATGGCCTTCCTACTTGTGAATTCACATTTTCGCAGCCAAACATGTATCCCCCCCATCGGTTCCCTTGCAGAAAATGGTATGCGCGCGCACTCCTTTATCAAACATCAGAATCATATTAACAATAATCAGAACAACATTAATTTTAGTAAGACTACTCATATTAATGCTAGTAGTAGTAGTAGTAGTAGTAGTAGTAGTAGTAGTAGTAGTAGTAGTAGTAGTAGTAGTAGTAGTAGTAGTAGTAGTAGTAGTAGTAGTAGTGTAGTAGTGTAGTAGTAGTAGTAGTAGTAGTAGTAGTAGTAGTAGTAGTAGTAGTAGTAGTAGTAGTAGTAGTAGTAGTAGTAGTAGTAGTTCTAGTAGTAGTAGTAGTAGTAGTAGTAGTAGTAGTAGTAGTAGTAGTAGTAGTAGTAGTCGTAGTAGTAGTAGTAGTAGTAGTAGTAGTAGTAGTAGTAGTAGTAGTAGTAGTAGTAGTTAGTAGTAGTAGTAGTAGTAGTCGTAGTAGTAGTATAGTAGTAGTAGTAGTAGTAGTAGTAGTAGTAGTAGTAGTAGTAGTAGTAGTAGTAGTAGTAGTAGTAGTAGTACTAGTAGTAGTAGTAGTAGTTAGTAGTAGTAGTAGTGTAGTAGTAGTAGTAGTAGTAGTAGTAGTAGTAGTAGTAGTAGTAGTATCAGTAGTACTGGTAGTGGTAGTAGTAGTATTAAACTTACGAATGCTATTGATACTGCGAACAACCAAGTCATGATTCCATCAAACATAATATCAATATTATCAGTAATGCTAATAATGAGAATCCTAGTGTCACTAGTAATAACGCTACTACTAATAATTCTACCCTTAGTAATGCGATTTACAATAATAACACTATAGCTAATAATGCACATGATAACGCTAATAACAATACTACTAATACTAAGAGCAGTAGTAATAATAGGAGGAGGAGGGGGAGGAGGAGGAGGAGGAGGAGGAGGAGGAGGAGGAGGAGGAGGAGTTGGAGGAGGAGGAGGAGGAGGAGGAAGAGGAATACTAATAATGGTAAGAAGACGAAGACGAGAACGAAGACGAATAATAATAATAATAATAATAATAATAATAATAATAATAATAATAATAATAATAACAATAATAATAATCATAATAATCATCATCATCATCTTAATAGGAATAAGATGAATAATGCGGATAATAGGAGTAATCATAGTAATGTTAATACTAATAAAGAAAATAATAACAATGGGAATAATACAACAAGTGTTGATACTAGTAAGCATACTAACAATAATAATAATCATAATAATGCAAACATAAGAATAATCTTATTAAGGCGAAGGAGAGTGATATTCATAATCGTAAGAGTAAGCATAGTACGAATAATAAGAATACTAATTTTCATAAGAAGAATAGTAATCACAATAAACAAATGAAGAGGAGGAGGAGGAGGAGGAGGAGGAGGAGGGGGAGGCGGAGGAGGAGGAGGAGGAGGAGGAGGAGGAGGAGGAGAGGAGGAGGAGGAGGCGGAGGAGGAGGAGGAGGAGGAGGAGGAGGAGGAGGAGGAGTGGGATCGGCGTCGGAATTCTGGGGAGTCGGCGTCCGCGTGGCTGTGGCCAGCAATCCAGCCGTGGCCACGAGGGCGTCCAGGAATACCCGGACCGATACAAAAACGGTCAATGTCTCAATCCTCGGATCCTCGAACGTCGATGACGGCGCTGAAGTCGGCATCGTGCCGCCGCGGGGGAGCCCCAGGCCCCAGGCTGTTCCGAGAAGGGGGATGAGTACGCAGGGCATCGCTCGGACGTGTGCAATGTTCTCGGCGAGGACCATCCAGGAGCCTTCTGGGCAATTTTGCGGAAAAAGCACGCACGAAACCAACCAATGCACGGGGAATGGACGTCCGAGCGATGGCGAGAGGCAGGAAGAGGAGGGAGGAGGAATCGGGGAGAGCATCACGGATGAATGACAACAGCGGGAGCCAGGGGGGGGAGAAGGAGGGGGGGTGGAGGAGCAGGGGGGGGAGAAGGAGGGAGGGGAGGAGGAGCAGGGGGGGGTAGCCCCCCCTGGCCCCAAAACCGTGCAGGGGATAGCGGGCCCGCGCCTGTCGCAGGGGAAGACGCTGGAGGGGGTGGGGGCGTTGGACCGCGCCCGCGAGCCGGGCCCGAG